CCCCAAAACCCCAAAACCCCAAAACCCCAAAACCCCTATTTTAAATTATTTTATTGAACTTATTCTTCTATTTCTCGGACACAACTATTATTTAACAAGAATCCATCTCTACAAATTTAAATTCTTGCTCGAATTCTTCTCTCTGTTGCATTCTTGATATGAAGCCATCCCAATCTATCTCCAAGTCATCATCATCTAAGAGGTCTATCTTGGTAAATTGCTTGAATAAGATGTCTAAATTATCCTTAGAGAGTTCGTAATCCTTCATATTTCCAGCCTCAAACTCAAACTGTTTGTGCTCGTCAGCACTTCTGTGAGCTCCCTTACTCTGGACATAAAGGAAGTAGTGTTTTTGGGATTCTTTGACTCTACACATTAGTTTAAACGACATACTTCATTTCCATTAGTTTCACTAAGAAGAGGGAACCACTGATTCTCATTCATGACTGGTACACAATAGATTTGCTGATCTTATTCTTTGGCTTATTCTTTCTTGCCAAGAATCCTCTTATCATTTTCTGTGCATAAGTCACAGCCTGTATCTGAGATCTAAGGCTAGGCATCTGACCAACTCTTTGAGGGTTTTGGTTCATAAATTCTATCTCATTCTCCTGAAGAAGCTTGGTGCAATGTGTTTTATAAATATCTGAATCTAACCTTAAGCTTCCTCCGTCATCAATAAATAGACAATATTCAATCATCAAGCTGCATACTTTTATCAAAGATTGCTTGTTTAGAGAGTATTTTGGAAGCAGATAGCTAAAGTTCAACTTATTATTCCCAGGCTTTTGATTGGCATAAAACTTCAGCAACGTCCTTTTATTTCCATCCTTCATTTGCGCTCCTCAAAATACTTTGAAAATATAGAAGTTGCAATCATCCATCCTTTTGCCCTTGGTCAAAATGTAATCTAAATATTGAATATTTTCTTACTTTCAAGAGGCACTTGGTAATTATTTTTGTATTCCTGACTCCTTCTCATCAAAAATCGCCTTACAAGCTTTTGTACTTTCCTTAAAGCTCTGATGTTAACGTCTCTTCTGTTTTGATGTCCTGCAAGTCTTCTTTTGGTGGCAATTCTCTTTCTACCGAATCTAAGATATGCCTAGAGGATAAAGTTGATACTTACTCTAATCATAGCTTGGATGAACAAAATAGACTTATATTCTTTATCTGACTGAGTAAGGATATGTTTCATCATTTTAGGAGTTTCATCTAATCTTTCAAAGTTATTGTGAAGAGTTCCCTCATCGTCTCCCTCTAAAGTAAGGTTGACTACTCCAGATGAATACATTTTTGATAAAGCAGCATTTGTAGTATGAACTTCCTTAAGTTCTTCACTTTGAACATTCACAAATCTCGTAGTTTCTCCTCCAGTATTTTCCTTCTGCTCCATTTTAAGAACTTGGGGACTTTTTGGAAGCATAAGTTGGGGAGGAGTGCTCTCAACTAGTTTTAAAGGTTCTGGCTCTGGGACTCCTTCTTCTGACAACAAAAGAATATAGTCGTCAGGGCCTATTACCTTCACTTGGATCCTATAATATTATTCTTTGACAAATACCAGGCTTTACATCAATCAATTATGTCGTTATCATCTTCAGGAAGGTCAGCTGAGTTAATAGTGAGGCTATTTTTCCTTCTGTAGCGTGAAATCTTTGGCAAATATAATTATTTTGTCTTCTTTCAAAGACCTTTTCAGAAGATATTTTATATAAAAGTTGTTTGTACTGTCAGGATCATCCTTTTTGCATTTAAAATGACAGTAATATTTCCTTACAAAGAATCCAATGATAGCTCCTTCCATCGCTTCTTTTCTCCTTTTATTCTCTCTTAGTAGTTTTAGTTTATATCTTCATTGGAATAAGGATGCTGCTTGGGCAGGAGTGTAATTGCTAGCTTTCATGAAAAATCTAGCGTATTTGGCAATTTTATTTATTTTCTTCAAATTTGAGTCCTTCATCATCTAAGAAATGGCTCTGCATATTTTTGTAATCTTTGATGATATCATATTTAGGAACTTTATATCCTGCATCTCTGACCTTCTCCTTTACTCTCAAGTCCTCATCTGTAAGTATGGCATTTGGTTTGAATTCTTTAAATCCCGCTTTGCCTTCACCCCTAATGAACTCAGTCTCTTCAGATTCTTCTGATCCTTCGTAACTTTCTGAACTTAGTTCATCAATTTTGTTTGCCTATTAATTATTACAGTTACATCCTTACTTTATTCTTGTTTAGGTTGAATTTGGGTCCTTTCGTCTTTTCCTGAAAAGTAACCTTCTTCATAAGCTTTGCCTTTTTCTGCTCTTCCATGTCTTTATCAAATGATTTGAGTACTTCAGAGAAGTCCTTTTTCTCAGAAGGTTTTTCATTCATGTTAAGGAAGACCAATTCTCCTTCGTTGCAATCAGATTTTGGACTTCCAGTCCCTTTAATAATAGCATCAGTGTTGGTGAAATCTATATCTATGTGTCCTGAAAGTCTTCCTAGTCTTGATTTTAAGGCATTCTTAATTTCAGTCTCATTATATGACATCCATTCACCTCCTAAGTCAGGGAATAACTCTGAGGCTTCATAGGTAAACTCCTTTGGTTGCCTATTTTTAAGTGAAATATTATGAAGAAGTATCTTTATGGTTTCATATCTTCCATCGTCACCGTCAAATTCTGAATTTTCAGTCTGAGCAAGCCCACAGACTAATCTATAGAGGATTTCCTGGTCAACATCTCTGTAACCTCCTTGATATATCTGCTTAAAGTTTTGCTCTTGTATAGGAGTATGAATGCTTCTTTGTTCAGTCTTTTCTTCGATTCTCTCTTCAATTTTCTCATGAATTCTTTCATCAGTCTTGAGAGGAGTTAGAGTTTCTGAATCTCTTCCAAAGTCCACTGAGCTTTCAAGTCCTAAAAAATTGACTCTAGATCCTACCTTGTGAAGGTTTAAATCTATTCGATCCAGTTGTCTTAGAGGATGACTTCTTTGTCCTAGCAGCTTCGCTTATCTCATAATCAGGTACCTTAAATAACGTTTAGACAAAAAATTAAGAAAAATGTAAAATATCGAGGTTTTTGGTTACATAGAGATGGTCCTTGATATACAAAATATATTCATTCAGATTCATTCTGAAAGGAGCTCTATTAACAATTTCTTCAATAAGTCTCTCGTAGAACCTATATATAAGCCAAGAGCTCATACTCAGATTCTTCTCTAGTGTTGTTCCTGTGTCTCAATTTTGCAATGAATTCAGGACAAATTAAGGCTTTATTAGTAGGCCGAGGCCTAGCTCGTGCAGATGATCTCTTTGTCGCAGATAGTTTGATAGATTTTTTATTTAGCAGAGCTCTTTGGTCTCTAAAGGTAAGTCTTAAGGTTTACTTTTAGCAGTTTCTTTTTACTTTTTGGCTTTATTACAACAAATGTCTTTGAGATTTCAGGGTTCGGGTCTAGCAATTGCATGAGTCTATTTTTAGTCATTGTAACTTGTAAAGAATCATGATTCTAGGAAATTAAGACCGAAAAGTACCTCTGATGTTAACTTTGAGTCAAGATAATTTAGAAGAGTCTAAAATTGTTAGTTCAAAAATACTTCATAATTTGTAACACTTTCATCTCTCATGCCTCTTGCTTCGAATATTTCACTCTTTGTCCAAATTGCAGAGACTAAGAATGCAATTGAAGATTCCCATTGTTTATTGGCTACTTTCATAGCTTCTCTTGCAGTATCACTATCAACTATAACCTTCTGTCCTGAAATTTAGAGTCGGACTCTTGCTCTTCGATAAGTTTCGAACATATTTCTGTGTTCTCTTCTCAACTTTTATGGGCCAAGCCTATTGAAGCCTGAATATCTTCTAATGCTTCTTGGTACCTAGCAAGATTAAGCAGAGCTTACTTGTATATGCTTAGGTAAGCTTTGGCTCTATTATAGAAAATTTCCTGCATTCTTGATGAGGATACGTAAAAGTGCAACTTGTCGTTTGAAGACGAGTTTCATTGTTCAGCTCATAACTGTGCTCTTGTGAGGTATTTTATTCAAGATTTAGTTCTATTGCACCTAATAATGAGACAGAACTTTTACATATTACAGATATGAGCAATGTTATAATTAACTTTGTACTTATAATACGAAAATTCAACATCGGTGCTATTCAAATCTTCTTCTGTATTCTTAAGCATGGATAGTGCTAGTTCTTTTTCATCCATTTTAAGGAGCTCAAGTGAAGTATCTCATGATTTTTCTACGTAATACTTGAGTAATCTTCTCGTATGGCTACTATGCTGACCATATTTTTCATTCAAATTTTCTAAACAGGCTGAGAAAATGAATTTACTCCAATCTTCTCTAATAGTTTTGACAATGTTGAGCTTGTGTGCAGTTTCATTGAAACTTTCAGGATGCCCTATGATATTCAGCAAACTCTTACGAGGAAAGGATTCAACCCTGTTTTTATTAACTGTTTTGTTCTTCTTCCGCATATGCGGGAAAATGTTGTCCTTGGTTCTTCTCTTAATTAACATATTTAATTTTTTATTTTGTCTCGATTCAATATTATATGGCATAAATGGGGTTTTGGGGTTTTGGGGTTTTGGGG